TGTGGTAGTTTAGTTTAAACCAGTGTGTGGCTTTAGTTTAAACCACTGTGATAGTTTAGTTTAAACCAGTGTGACGGTTTAGTTTAAACCAGTGTGATAGTTTAGTTTAAACCAGTGTGTAGCTTTAGTTTCGTGCTCAGGCTGAACTCTGCCTCCTCAGCCTCTCTCTCTCTTCGAGGAGGAGCTGCTGGATTCTGCTGGAAGCTGCTGCTGCTATAAAACCTTCATCCGCACAAACTCTGGTCCAGGAGCCGCAGCAGGAGCCGCAGCAGCCGCACACCGAACCCCGCTGCTCTCTGACCCGCAGCCCGCCCCCGAACCTCCGCAGGATTCTGTCAAAGTCCCGCACACGCTCAGAACAAGTTTCCACAGAAAGACGCACAAGTTTGGAGCAGAGAGCGCGCACATGGCTGCTCTCATCAGCGCGTACTCGTCGTGGCCCGAGTCCTTCGAGTGTCCTCCCGGTGACGGGGACGAGGCGGACGGTCACGGGCCGCACCGGACCGCCGTGGACAAGGCTCCGGAGCCGCGCATCAGGCGGCCCATGAACGCGTTCATGGTTTGGGCCAAAGATGAGCGCAAACGTCTGGCGGTGCAGAACCCGGACCTGCACAACGCGGAGCTGAGCAAGATGCTGGGTGAGAAAAGCTGCTGCTGTTATCATGAGTGTTCCTAATATTGCTGCTGTGATTTGTTCAGGCTCAGTTCGGGTCAGTTCGGGCCTTTTGCTGCTCGCTGCTGTTTTACTGAACTTCTCGTGTTGCGGCGCAAAAAAAAAAAAAACGTTTTAAAATTTACTCATTAAAATCTAAATTACGATAAAAATAAAAAATTACAGAAACGAAACAAAAGAAAACTTTTGGAAGCAGCTGCTCTGATTTACATTTATTTCTGATCCAGGCTGCCGCGCGCGTCTCCGACGTCCCGGAGAATTAATTCACCAAAGCCTCAATTATTTATAAGACATCAGGAATCATTAATATTTTCATTTTATTTAATTGTGTCTGTATTTTGCCTGTTTGTTGGATTTCTGTGTTTGGATTCATTCTCAGTGTTGAAGCTCTGAACACAAATCAGGAAACATGTTGGTCTGAAAACATTTATTACATGTTCTAGAAATTCAACTGAAAAAGAAACTAAACATTGACATTTTATTTGTTTATTGTCAGAGTCCAGAAAACTCCAGAAATTATGTTTTCATTTTATTTGTTTAAAAAAAACAAACTTTCTCACCAGGACTCATGAATAAAATGTGTGAAGACACAGAACAGAGCTTTTTGTTCAACCAGCTGCTTTAAAACGACGTTCAGCTTCTTGGAGACGTTTTCATGTCAGACCAGCTTGTTCCACTGTTTCAGCTTCCATCAATGTGTTCCTTGCAGGGAAGTCGTGGAAGGCGCTGACGCCCCCCCAGAAGCGCCCGTACGTGGAGGAGGCGGAGCGGCTTCGGGTGCAGCACATGCAGGATTACCCCAACTACAAGTACCGTCCTCGCAGGAAGAAGCAGCTGAAGCGGATCTGTAAGCGGGTCGACCCCAGCTTCCTGCTGAGCGGCCTGGCCCCTGACCACGGCCCCCTGGCCGACCGGACCCTCTGCCACCCGCTGGACAAAGACGAGGGCGGCGGCCCGGCCGGCTTCTCGGCCTCCAGCCCGCCGCTGCCAGGGGTCCGCAGCTTCAGGGAGCCGCCCGGCTCCAGCAGCAGCTTCGACGGCTACCCCTACGGCCTGCCCACGCCCCCCGAGATGTCGCCGCTGGATGCCGTCGACCACGAGCACGTGCCCCCCTCCTACTACTCGGGCGGCTCGGACGACCTGGGCAGCCCCCCCCCTTACCGCGCCGACTTCCCCCAGACTCAGATCCACTGCGGGCCGTCGCACCTCCACCTGCCTCACCTGTCGCAGCCCTCCCAGATGCCCGGCCCCCCCCTGTCCTACTACGGCCCCTCCGGCTTCCCTCAGATCCATGGTGGGCTGCAGCCGGGTCACCTGGGCCAGCTGTCCCCCCCACCGGAGGCCCAGGCCCACCTGGAAACTCTGGACCAGCTGAGCCAGGCCGAGCTGCTGGGCGAGGTGGACCGCGACGAGTTCGACCAGTACCTGAACTCCACCGGGGGGGGCTTCAACCCAGAGCAGGGCGCCATGACGGTCACGGGACACATCCAGGTGGCGTCCGCCGCCGCCGCCGCCTCGTGTCCCAGCAGCTCCACAGAGACCAGCCTGATCTCGGTGCTGGCCGACGCCACGGCGGCCTACTACAACAACTACGGCATCTCGTAAGAGCGCAAAGACGGACGCAGCCGAACCGGACTGACCACTGAGCAATACGAATGTCTGGACAGACACCTCAGGGACGCCACCTCCAAATCTTCCAAACAGAGACTGTAAACGTGGCCAGCTGAGGCTTGTACAGACGCTCTGAAGCTAATTTAAGTTTGATGTAACTGTAATGCTTTCACCCATTCGAATGTGTGTATTCGTGTCCTGCTCTCCTGCGGGAGTCTTACCTCAGCCGCTGTAACTCCATGAGGTTTTAGTTTTCTTATGCAATTAACAGAATGATGTATAACGGAGGCAGAGAGCGTTTCTACTTCTTCTTCTCAACTACTTAATAATATATAATCAACCTGAGAAATAATAATGGTAACTATAACTGTATGCTGATTTAGGTTTGTGAAGGACAATAATTTAAAATAAAGTCAATTTTTATATGAACGCTGCTTGGACACGCGGCAGCTTCCTCTTTGTGATCACTTCTGGACGGACGATGCTGCCGATGCTTTTGTGTTTCTGGACGAACTGGGATCAGATTTGTGTGTAAAAAGACTCGACACTGACGACAAACTATACGAGGAACATCTCATTTTTATCAGGAACAATATTGTCTAATATTCTAATATCATTTTAACCCAAAATCAGCACTTCAGAACATAAAAGCAATTTTTATAACTCGACTTATTTTGACCTAAAATCGTGAGTTGAATGAACAAACAGCTGAAAGCTTCGTTAAATGAAGTTTGGAAGAAGCAGTGATTCCAGGAAACTCTTATCGTCACTGAATTCAGTCGAAACAGCAAGAAGACAATTCTGGTTATTTGATTTAAACCAACCTGTCAAACATGGATAGAATGTTTAATATTCTGCGTAATTTAATTTAAAACTAGACTCAAGTTGAGGGAACTTTGTGAAATTGTCTTGTTCAGGATTTAAAGTCTCCTGAACATCAGAGCAACTTTACATTTAGAGTGTTTGTCAGCTTAACAACCTGTGTTTGTATTTATGGAAAAGATAAAAACACTTTTAACTCGTGTAGAAAAACTACTCGGAGCAACTTATTTTATATGAACAGTCAAATTAAAACCTTGTGATTATTAAGTAATTAAAAACACGGTTTGTTGGTTGGACGTAATTTTTATCTGAAGTCGTTTGTTGTTTTTTTTTTTATTGATGCCAAACCAGATTTCCCAGGATGCTTTGCTGTTAATTAACACTTTTAGAGGCGCTGAGCTGCAGCCCAGTCGGCTTCATTAAAAGTAGTGAATAACGTAGTTTCTGATCATTTCCTTGTCGAGCCGATCGAGCTTCTGTTCTCGGTGTTCGTCTCCTCCGCCCGTCGCCTCGCTTTCATTTCATCCAGAGGATTAGTGTAGAACCGGCCGATCCGCCGCCGCCGCCGCCGCCGCCGCCGCCTCCTTTGTTTGCCTGCAGTCTTATTCTGGTCCCATTCTTCGGCTGGCTGGACCCCTCCTCCGCCCCACCCCCTCACCCCTTTATATCTTGCTGATGCAGACCTTTTGCTAATCTGCGGCAGAAATAAGAAAATAAATTCCGACTGTTTTACACCCTCTCTGTTCTCCTGAATTCTTCTTGTCGATAAAAGGAATTCGGGGGGCTTTTGACAAATCCTGGAGTCTGGCTGGTCTTCCTGCGTTTTTTGGGAATGGTTGAGTCGTGCTTCTTGTAAAGAGGATGTGGCGGAGCGGCGGTGTTTCCTGCCTGATAAGGGAAAGCCTCTCTCCGTCAGGATGTTTGGGTCGGCTTTAAAGAGCCACGGCGAGGGAAGGGAACCCGCTGTTCAGCAGGCGGGAGGAAACGCCGCCGCGCTGATTAGCATCTCGCAAACCTTCTTTACTCGTCGCTGCCGTGTTCCAGCCGAGGCCGGCCGTACGATAAAGAGCTAAAAGCAGGCCGCTGCGTCTGAGAACCTGGACAAACGCGACCTTTACGCCGACGCGACCGAGCAGAATGACAACATTCATCATGTGTCTGCGATGATTAGCTGCTGCCTGCAGGGCCGCGCTGCACAAACGCCGGCGTTTGTGGGCCAGAGTTCGCTCTGGTGGCTCCCCGGTGAACTGGCCGGGCCGCGGCAGCACCTCCGGGTAGGACGCCGGCCATCTCAAGGACAGACCCGACGGTCGGCAGGCTGCAGCGGCGACCGGAGACGTAGGTCTACTGATTTCTAGTTCACTCAAACTCAAAGTGACTCGTTGGTGTTTTCAGACGACACTTGAGTTCTTCTCACGCGATGAGGTGGATGAATGAACAACTGATACTTCATGAAGGTAGTCAGAACCAGAACCAGAACCTCGTCATCAGAGATATAAACCAGAGCCACAGACTGGTCTCCTGCAGTCGATGCAAACATGATGTGTGTCTTTAATGCAAATTGAATTAATTTCTTGTTTTTCTTTTCATTAAAACTGAACAACTCATTTCTTCAATAATAATTTAATGTTTCCAAATAAAGTTGATTAAATATGTTGCACGACGTCCAACGTTTTAAAACTAATTACATTAATTCCTGTTCACAGGAGTCAGACCGGATAATGTTTAGGTTATTATAGATATAATTTAACATACGTGTGTGTGTTGAGTCCACCTGATCAATGACTCAACACAAGAAGCTGTTCAGCTCAATCACTTCCTGCTCAAAGAAGCTCGATAAGGTATTTTTTATGTGGGTTCGGTTCTAACCCCGACAGAGACTCGGTTCTCTCTGACGGATCTCATTTGAACTGCAGCAGCTTCGTCTCGACTCCGAACTTCAACGTCTTTAACTGAGAAGAAACTTGATGGACCCACAGAGTGACTCACAGTCCGACACTGAATCAGTTCATATTTGAACTTCAGCGTGTTTCCTGTGCTTCGGGTAGTTTGACACTTTCACAGCTCGTTAGACGACGTTGACCCAAGACAGAGTGGAAGCTCAGTGAGGTCCGGTTCTAAGGAGAATCCGTTCTGAGGTGAGTTCCCTTCAACTGGTTTATGGTTTAAAGAACCACCGTCAGATAATCAGATCAAATAATCAGTGGACACTCTTTGTTTAGAGGATGGTTCTCCATCGACCTGCTGTGGTTCTCTAAAGGTTCTTCATGTTTATTCAGGTCTTTGGGGGGTTTCAGGCGACAGCATGAAGTCATGATTTTATTCTGATGAATCATTTGGTGATGAAACACCAGAAACCAAAGAAATGCTCATCACAGTTTCACAGAACTTAGAACACGTTCTGTCTGAAGAACCCAAAATATTAAATGTTTTCTAATGGAAGGAACCAGAAACGCTGCGGTCTAACATCTGACTTCTTGTGTTTAGTTTTTTTTTTTTGCCTAAAATGACTTCAGTGATGATCAAGTCCTGTTACTAGACTGGAACCAGGCGGATCCACAAAGAACCGTTCAAAGAAATGGTTCTTTGTGGAACTAAACATGGTGTTTATGGTTCTTCACAGGGATTTATTTTACATTTTTAAATGTCCACAGAACCCTAATGTCCACCACTGACTTGTGGGGTAAAAGGAAAGAGCACATGAACCTGTTTTGTTCTGATTCGGTTTCTGAACGTCGTTTCCACTGTCGAACCGTAAAAGCATAAAACCTGAGAACAGTTTGGATTTAATTCATCCTTGTTGTCTGGTGGCGGCGGCTGACTTCTGTTGGATCATGTCGTCCCCGTAAACGGGACGCTGACCTTCCTTCAGATGCTCAAACTCAGGACGAGGACAGAAAAGGACAGAACGGTGAGTTTAAGATCAAATCAGGTTTTGCTGAGTGAAGGAAACACTGAGAAAATGTAAAGCTTGATTTTTAGAAGTAAATGTGAGACGAGTCGGTCTAACTGTGACTCCAGGCCCAGAGCGCTGCTCAGGAAGCTCCGCTGGGTTCTGTGACGGGTTCTGTGACGTCCATGTGAGCAGAACCCTGATGTGGTCTTCAGGTTTTCCTCTTCAGAAACTGACTCATCACCGTAGAAACGTTCGGTCGGAGCTGCTGCTGCGGCTTCAGCTGCAATAAATCAACAGGGACGGAAAGAGAGCGTAATGAGTGAACAAACCGAAGCAGGAAGCTTCAGACACGACGTCAGCTCAGACAACCTCCAATAAAACAAGCAGCACTCACTGCTGAGCAGAGGATCAGCTCCTCCTCCACCCTCACATGCAGCTTTAATCACCGCTAACAGGTTTGCTGCTCATCGTTATGTGAATGATGATCCTCTGATCACATTTCTTTCAGCAGTTTTTGCCTTTTTCACGTTTGTGTTTATGGAGGAGTTTTAAGAAACAAATTATTTCAACAGCAACCTTTGAAATGAACAATATTTAATTTAACAGATCTGAGTTTAAATCAGTGAATTATAATCATTCATCCAAATAATGTTTCTGTAACTAAATGTCATTTTTCTTTTTCTTTCAACCAAACATTTTAATCTAAAACAATCATGTTGAATACAGAGTTCAGACGACGTCATGAAGCTGTTCAACCAGCTGTAGAGGAACGAGCTGCTGCTCTTCCAGCTGTTTGGCAGAACCAGCACCAGCCTGTCATGCTGATTACTCAGAACAGTTGAGTTGATCCAACTCATTTGTCCACAGTTTCTTCAGCAGATGTCGGTGCAGTGACGATCAGAGACCAGACTGTTTCTATGTTTTCCACTGACACAGAGTTCACGTGTTTAATTGGCCTAATTGATGCAGGACGATCAGGGTTGTGTTGTGAGGGTGAAGGCTGAACAAACACCAGCCTCTGATTGCCGGCTGGCTGAAGTCCAGGCTCAGGTCACATTCAGCCTCTTATGTTTCCTCTTTCCTCCTGCCGTCACGTCACTTCCTTCAGCAAACAAACAGGTCGCACCGTCAAGGTAGCGGCGGCGGGACTCACAGCTGGCTAAAGGATCACGAGCTGGAGGCTCCAGTCTGCTCATTGTGTCGCAGCTTCACGTCACATCTGGACGACAAGCATCTGCTCAGCACGACGGCCTCAACCTACAAACTGCAGGTCGGCAGGAAGCTGCTGATCTCAGCTACGTGACTCAGGATTCCTGCTGAGATGGCCTTTAAACCTGAAGTTACACCAGCCCTGAGAACAAAGGATTCCACCCATAGTAATCAGATTACTTCTACCAGCAGAGTACTGTCTCTGATATCAGATTACAAACCACCAGTTCAGATCCATTGATTAACTTCAGGCTCCACAGCAGGAACTAAAGTGAGTCCATCTCTGGTTCCTTCAGTCTTTATCTGCTGACAGAC